TCAGTGGTACACGTCCCGATGTGAGGTTCCTATCTTTGCAGTCCTAACCACTGGTGTCTTGGTACCTGTACCCGATGTCGGTGGTCTACTATTTTTTATATTTTTAAATGTATTTTTATATCTTTTGTAATATATTTAAAAATGTAATTAATATGTATATATAATATAATAATAATAATATTGTACCACATTCACACAACGCCATCTAGTCCCAAACTAAGCAGAGCTTGTACTATGGGTACTAGACAACTGATATAAATACATAGGTATATACTTTTTTTTTGTAAATACATACTTATTATACATAGGAACACCCAGACCAAATCAAACATTAAATGTTCATGCACACAAACGTTTGACTTGAACGGGAATCGAACCCGCGACCTTTGGAATAGCAGTCCGTTACACGAACTACTACGCCATTCGGTCGTCAAAAGTATAAAAGGGTAGTTTATGAAAAGAAAAGCAAAATTGAAAATATAGCCACACATATGTTTCAGGATCGAACAACATGGTTTAATGACCCATTTAAATGTGGCAGGTTCTAAATTTGAAATCATTCTTTTTCATTATGTTTATTTATGAATGGGGCCAAGAAGCTGAAAGTCAAAGTTGTTATTACGTTCATGTGTACATAAGGTGTTAACCACAACTTTGGTCCTAACGATATGAAACCCTGCTAGCTGCATTAAATTATTTCTCGAGTGGTAACCGTGTACTAGGACAATCACAAGGTGATCCGACGACCTGGATGATGAAGGTCGCGGCAAGCTGTTGGATGCGGGCAGCACAGAACTGGGCCTCAATTCTACTATTTTATGTTCACGCCTAGCCACTGTCATACCACTGACACGCTATTGAGATGCCATCGAGTGGCCAGTGGAAATAAATATAGTTTCTTGAAATATTAAATTTAATTGCTGCAGAAAAATTAAAAGGTCAGAATTTGGTATTTTCAAAGACATTTTATTTATAAATAGTTACATAAGTATTACATATACATGTATTGCTTACATTCAAGTAACTATTATTACTTTAAGCTAAAATTAAGAATTAAATTATTACCAATAAGCTAATGGACCTGCAAAAGCTGCAGGAACACCATATACAGACGGTACAAAAACAGAGTACGGAGAGGGTGCAACTATGGAAGAATATACGGTGGTTACAGGGCCGCCTGCGTAAAATATATGAGCATAATTGCGGTAGTCGACCACTGAAGGCTCAGAAGATACAACGAAAGTAACAGGAGCAACGGATGCCACAGGTTTTACAGGACTTGCGGATTTTACGGAATTTGCAGGTTCTACAGAACTTATGGGCTCAGCGGTAACTGCAGGTCCTACAGGACTTGCGGATTTTACGGAATTTGCAGGTTCTACAGAACTTATGGGTTCAGAGGTAACTGCAGGTCCTACAGGACTTTCAGGTTCAACGGGAACTACAGATACTACTGGCACAGCTGGATCCTTACGAACAATCGCGTTGAATCCATTCGCATCATTGGCTGTATAGTCAACGGTACGTTTGGTACCATCAGCATCGAGTAAGGAGTATTGTCCAACAATGTTACTGCCGACGCGAGTCTCCACCTGACTCTTGAAGTCGCCGGTGCTGGGATCGGCTACATTGTAACTGAAGCTGGAAGAGTCAGCAGTAGCTGTAGATTCTACAGGAGATACAGTTTCAGCCCGAACTGCAGGTACTACTGGCGCAATAGGAACAACTGGATCTTTCCGAACAATCGCTTTGAAACCATTCGCGTCATCAGCTGTATAGTCAACGGTACGTCTAGTCCCATCAGCATCGAGCAATGAGTATTGTCCAACAACGTTACTGCCGACGCGAGTCTCCGCCTGACTCTTGAAGTCACCTGTGTTTGGGTTGGCTACCTCGTAACTAAAGTGGGAAGAATCAGCGTCTACTCGCACTATTGGCACCACAGAGCTGTGGGCCACAGCCACAAGAGCGGCAAGAACTACGAACTGTAAGGAAACAGTGATATTAGTATTTTATTAATAAAAAACAACAGTATTGCATTAGGCAGATTTATTTAGTAAAGTCTCTCTGTTCAGTAGAAGATTGCATCTACTCAGGTTAACAAGATTACAAGGTGTTTGATCAATCTCAATTGTTAAGTAATACTTTGTCTTGTCATTCTTAGTGTGCTGTTCTATTATAAATACTCTACTATTTTTTGTCTCTACCAATTCAAATTGGACGTTTTTTTTAATTCCATACTAGGACATAAATGAAAAGATATTAAAATGAAAGCCAAACTACGTTATAATTGCATAAAAGGCTGCTTGTTCGTACATAATGATTGATGGAATCCATAGTTCTTACCTTGACTGTCATTACTGATCCTGAAGAGATTCACTGATTGAATGATGCGCTATGCTAAGAAGAGTCTGTTTATATACTTACATATATATTTACTTAAGGTATTTTAAAAGCAGGTTTTGTCGAAACTATGTAACGTATGTAATGAATCCCATTTAAATTAATTTATCAGTTTATATCATTTCCTAATTGCTATAGGACATTCTTATTTGAGCCTTAGGCACTACCTACTTCGCCCATAAAATATTTGATAACACATGATATTTAGAATAAAACATTAAACTTCGTCCTTCAAGGGACCAAAACTTTAAAATTTTTAAATTTGCCTTTAAAATTAAATATTTTTAATTTCCACCAGTTGATCTATTTATAATATACACTAGCCATTCCTTTCACCGACGACTCCAAGGAATCGTATGTAAAAGAAAAATATGTAAAGTTATCTATTATTTTCAGAAACTTACTGATTTCAACAAAACAAACAAAAAACTTCAGATGATCTTTATTATAAGAATATTTAAGATAAGATAACGTTTTTTTGAAGCATTTTTGCCAGTTCTTCTATTCGAGTAGCCTGTGGGTAAGGTATACGCGTTCATCCTACGACACCCTTCTTATTCAGTATAACAATGCTTTAAGAATGATATTGAAATTAAAGAATACGAGAGGCCTATGTTCAGCAGTATACAAGTGACGGGTTCAAGGCGATAATTCGTAAAAAAATAGCTATCATCTTGCAGCGTCTGCGGAACGCCAACAACAGCATTCTGAAAGTCATTGCTGCAACGTTCGACCGCCCTATTCAAAAACATTGGGTAAGGGCAGTTATATAGTATCATCATCAACATCGACAACTTTTAAAAGCCCACTGCTGGACATAGGCCTGTCCTTAGAAATCAATATAGGTGTATTATAAAAATAAATTTAATGTAATGATACTAATAATACTAACTTAATTATAAGCAAATTGTTACTAATACACTAATACTATGGACTGCAGCACTATGGTCTGAAATAAATAATTCTTATTATTATGTATAATAATATTATAGTATATACAGCAAAAAGTATAAACTACGCAGCACAACAGCACTGCAGAAAGAAGGAAAACTTGACACAAACCCTATACCAACCCGCCTGGCCAGCGTGGTAAAGTAGGCCAAAACCTCCTTTCTAAAGAGAGGCTTATGACCAGCAGTGGACTATTAAAGGCTGTAGACGTGATGTGAAACAAAGCAAACAAAAACAATTAAATTTGATACTTTGTTCAGCTATGTTTGATTTTTCAAAATAATTATTTTGACACATCTCACACTCGGTCGTCCAATCCTGTGACGTTAGGGTCACTAACCACTAGAGCAGTTCTACTAACTAACTATTTCTAACTCTATTTCTTAAAATTAATATTAATTAGATTTTGAGATAATTAATGCTTTTGACCAGTGGAAATCCTTGCCCTAGACCTGGCCTATTCAACATAAGACAATCTCAGTTCCATTTCTCCATGCGATTTTTTGTAAGACAACTCCAACACTAGTAATATATCCTGTGTCTTGGGTATCATAAGACGTACACAAAGAACACCTAGACTCAGAAAAATAATTTGTGAATCACACAAAGCGTTGCCCCATGTGAGGATCGAACTTATGCCAATTGCATAAACAGCGCAGTAGGCAACGACGAGGCGACCGCTTAATCCAATACGCCATTAGTGCAGTCAAGGTTTCCTTACATTGGCTCCATCATTCTGCCTGTTTACTCTGCTTTTTTTACTCCCGAAAACGTTTATTTTTTCCAAGGAAGGTAAGTAAGACAGGCTACCAAAGCCTTCCTTTACAATGTTATGCCTATATTATAGCTTTTAATTTACAATGTGTAAAAAACGAAGTCCGTCTTACTCATGTTTGTTTCGATGGTAAACAAGTAGTCAAAAAGAATAAGTATCATGTATTTTTCCATGTGGCAGAGGTACCTTGTCTCACTCACTTCAACATACTTACTTAGAGGTTCAGCTAATAACCTATTTTTTACCTATATTTATCATTTAGCTTTAAGATAATTTTAGCTTCTTTGTTATTTTTAAACACTTATTTAAAATAAATGTTTCTCTTCAACTTTCTTTAACTCTACTTAGAATCCATTCTAGTACAGGCTTTTTCTTTACTATGGGGGATTACAAACGAAAACATCGTTTTCATTCGAGTCAACGTTTAATTTTTTTTGTTTTTTTCAAAAACATTTCTTAGAAGTGCCATTATTCTGAACTTATGTGGTTTTATGAAACACATCAAGCAGATTTTCACTTTAAATATACTGTGAGCAGTAGGTGAAGTTACTTCAGTTAAGAAAGATGAAAGACCAAGATTCGATAGTTTCACAATTTATTTAACAAAAAAATGACACACTATATTATTATTATTTACATTTACAGACATTTACAGAGAACTGCGAATCGACCATGAAATCATTTTACCAGTATGAAGAATAAACTAGTGGGGAGTTGAAACGCAGACGCGAAGGCGTATACAGGGGCACCAACACCAGCAGGGTAAATGGAAGGTAGACCAACAGCCGAGTATACCAAGGGAGAGGCGAAGCTGCGGGCGTCCACAATAGTAGGTTCGGCAGCAGCAACTGTTACTGGAGCAGTAGCAACTACAGGAGCACTAACAACTACAGGGGCAGCAACAACAGCAGGATCCTTACGTACGACAGCGTTAAAGCCATTCACGTCATCGGCTGTGTAGTCGACAGTGCGCTTGGTGCCGTCAGCATCGAGCAGAGAGTACTGACCGACAACATTGCCACCGACTCGAGACTCCACCTGGCTTTTGTAGTCACCGGTGTTGGGGTCGGCTACGTCGTAACTGAAGCTGGAAGAGTCAGCGGTCTACTTGTACTACTGGCACCACTGAGCAGTGGGCCACGGCTACGAGAGCGACAAGAACTACGAGCTGCAAAAAAGTAATAATTGTCATTAATTTTAAAAAGTAAATGACATCGTCAATGTGCAAATTTCGAATTGAATTCAATCAAATTATTTTCTCGTACACATACGGGAACAGATATCACTGATTGAATTGTCAAACATTCACGGTATGTACCTAATACCTGTTACGTGATCACATTAACTCCCGCGTATAAACGTAATTATAATAGCTTATACTTATAATCAAGAAACTTGACAGTTCAAAAGTAAGAATTCAGTTAGTTCAAAATAAAATCCAAAATTTAAAAAAGAAATGATTTTGCTTGTGTAAGATCACCAATTTACCTTAGATGCCATTGCTGATCCTGAAGAGATTCACTGATTGAATGATGCCATACCAAATATGAGTATGCTTATATACTCATTTTCCGATCACTATATGACTCCCAAGTTTAATAGAAACCTGTATTGTGTGTAGGTAATTAAAAGAATTTAAATTGATCTATGTGTTCAAACTATTTCCTAATTGCCACTCGACATTTATGTTTTTTAGGCATGTGTATGGTTTTAAAAATATGACAACAGCTTATAACTACGTAATGGTTTCATTATAACCTATATTCTGGTACTTAAGGTTTTCATACCACGAGATAGTTAAAGGTACCTACAGACCGGTTTTCACTGCCAAAAAGTCTATGAACTTTGCTCATTTTTTATATCCACAGAAACATTTGCAATGGCAAGAAGTTAATAGGATAATTCGGGATGGGATACCGTTTCATCATCATCATCATCAACGGCCTTTAAAAGTCCACTGCCGGACATAGGCCTCTCCTTATAAAGGAGGTTTTGGCCTGCTATACCTCGCTGACCAGACGGGTTGATATAGGTTTGTGTCAAGTTTTCCTTCTCTTTGCAGTGCTGTTGCCCTGCGTAGTGTGCTCCCTTAGTCACCTCTTACAAAAACCGACAGGATGAATCGGGGTGATGACACTCTCTTTCTTAATCCGTCACTACACTGAACGATACGTATATGGACACCGTTTACTCTGGATCAAATAAATTAGCAATTAGTGATAATGATGACGTCAAAATTGAGCAATTCCTACGATGCTTTTTACCCACCCCATAAAAGTGCAGGCAATACACTTGTGTGCCTTGACTTGCATGGCGAACCTGGTGAAGACGCCTTCCGCATTAGAAATATATCCTGTGTCGCGGGGGGACTTTACAAACATACATAAAAAGGACACAAAGAACACCCAGACCCAGAACAACACTTTATAGATCATATAAAGTGTCGCCCCCAATTAGGGGATCGGACCCACAACACTCAGCGTAGTAGTAAGGCGGCGTGGTGACCTTTACAACACTACGCCATCCGTGCAGTCAAGATAATAGTAATGTATTACCATAAAGCATTAATATGAAATTCTGAATGTCCTCTGGTTAATGCTAAACTTCGATGTGAGTATTGTTCATGAAGTATTGTTACCCATTAGTGAATAGTGTAGCATCGCATATCACTTCCCTCTGAATCTCATCCAATTTCATATTGAATATACGTTGTTCATTCAGTCATCTTATCACGGAGTATTGAGTTTCTATTTTCACAATTGATAGTTTTGTTTTTAATTTCTAAATGCAAAATATAGTTAACTAGACGTAAGATACTTGAAATTTCATTATGTATGGTTTAATAATGTTACGTTGGCGAAAGGCCAGGGCCGCAATGCTGCTATTTTATGTTCACGCCAAGCCACTGTCATACCACTGACACGCTATTGAGATGCGGGGGGATCAATGAAATAATTTTACATTGATAATGCAAGCTTGAATTTATTTTATATTTGTGTGATTTAAGCTTCCAATACAGCATCCAATACAGCTTAAAGTATTGGATGATGTATGGTCATCCCAACTTTTCTAGTTCAGTTTAAAGATATATTTTTTATTTATTTTTGTATACTTTCTGAGTGAATCAGGTAGTTATTTATTAATGCAGGGACGTTGTTGAAGAGCTCTCCGTATAATAAACACTAAGCACTGTGACGAACACACGTTTCTTTAGACCATATTAAAACTG